TTCCTTCATAGACATGCTGGGCTGTATCTTTCAACTCATCAATTCTTTTCTTACGCCACCCTGGGCAATTCTTTTTTAAAAATGCTTCCTAATTTCTGGTTGAAAATGGCTGACAAAGCTAAGTTAATAATTCAAGTGTCACGTGGATCACTGAAATTTAGACCTGCTTAATGCCTGTCTTTGCACAATCTATTTTTCAAAAAGTTAAAAGGTTCTTCTACAAACTAACAAATATTCTAAATCCTGAGATGGACAGCACAAGTAGCCATAATCTACAAAATTTCATCTCAGGACCCAATTAAATATGGATTTATAATTTCTAATATTTAAAATCTATTTTACTTAAGCTACTTAGAAGGATTAAGTTTCACTCACCCTCAAGTCACTCCTTGATTTAAACAAACTTCTCCCCTCTTGAGGTCAAAATGAAAGTTCAAATTGTAAACTGTCTTTGAAATCCTACTAAAGCTGACTTCTAGCAGTCTGACACTTTTAAAACTAGAGTAAAATAAAATCTCCCTCCCTAAAACAAAAAAAAAAGCATTTTGTATGTAATCTTTTCTTCTCCTAAAACAAACTCTACAGTTTCTAACGTATCACAAAGGCTTAACATCCACAATGACAATCAACTCATGACCAGTTTATGTTTAAGGCTCATGTTCTATGCTTATGCCTATGCTTACTTTTCATGGGCACAAGACAATGGGCCACATGGTTCAGCTGAGTATCCTAGTCAGAGGCCTGGTCTTTGGTTCATAGATCTAATAAAGGTTTATGTGTCCCTAACAGGAATTCCTCTGACAATTCATGGCATTCAAATTGGTGGACTGTTTTGGTTAGTTGTTGGCTGAGGAAAAAACTCATGGGTTGCCCAGAGATGTGGGTGCTTTTGGTACAAGTGAATTCCTACTGGGAGACATGCAGTGTTCCCCTACTGACCCTTGCTTTCTACAACTGGGTTCATAGTGCCATATTTCCCCAGGGTAGGTGTGGCTGTCCATAGGTTGAGTCATTTTTCCAGGGACCCAGTTTATGAGCTAATGGAGGTCAATATTTAGGGCAAAACCTGGAGAACATCTCTCTCTTATCAGTAATTTAAACATAATGAAGTAGGAATCACAAGACAGATACTCAGACATTAAATACCAGTAACGAAGCTTCAAAAAGGAATTAGTGTGCATACACAAAAACAAAAAACAAACATCTCTTTTCAAGCCAATTTTGAGACTTAGATATCTTAGAATGATTTTGCTCTATATATTTTGGTTATCCTCTCTTTCTCACCCCTTTCTTAAATGAGAAGTATGTATGCCTCTGAGCTTTAAAACTAAGATCCCCCCTTTTAAGATAGAATTCTTCAAAAGCTTAAGAACCCACTCTCCTGGCTGAGCCAGGGACCCCTTAAAGAAAACAAATTTTCTAAGGTTTAAGAATTCCCTAAAAGAATATTAATCTTTCTCGTCATAAGCCAAGAGTTCCCCCTTGAAGAAGTAAAAAATTTCTCAAGGGTTTAAGCTCCTTAGGGGAATTTGCCAGGCTTTATAACATCAATTATTGTCAAATTATCACATCAAATACAAACAGTACCCCAAGACAGACATAAACACACAAAGTTGCAACTTTCTCCAACAGAATGCTTACCCTAGCTCAAAGAATTGAGACTGAGGCAAAGAGTCAGTTCTCCACTGCAGTTTTCATCAAAAGTACACCCTCCAGGACAGAAACATCACCAGGGAGTTTGGTGGCAGGGGAGTGTTCCCTAAGAGGCTTTTTCAGGAACCAGACTCCCTCCCCTAATCCCAGACAAGGCCCCAGTTGCCATGGTTGTAAACAAAGGCAGTCCAAGGTATTGCCTTCCAAGCACTAGCAGTTTATTAGTGGAGTAACAAATCAACTAGCAAAGTGGGTCAATAGTTACCTCAATAATGACAGAGACACCACTGATGGATGATTAGATATTTTATAATAATTAATAAGATAACAGAGCAAAATTTTTAGGTTCAAAGATGTGTCTTATTCTGAATGGTCAGAAAGTTAAAAACCCTCTGATCCTCAGTTTGGTATTACCATTGCTTGAACCTCCTCTGTAAAAACCCCCTTAGCCCCAAAAAAGATGTGATTCAGATCACCAGACAAAAGCAAGACAACCCTGACTTAGGAACAGAAGTAGTATGCAGGAGATGGGAGTAGTCCTCAGGTAATAGGATTAGCCTTCAGGCTATGGGAGTAGTCCACAATAGTTTCAATTAAGCTTGATCTTTCCCTAGAATATGGATGGTGGGTGAAGATGGGTAGATGGAAGGTGGGTGGACATAACAAGTTTGTTGTGATCTTTCGGTCATTTTCAGTTATGTCTAACTCTTTGTGACCCCATCTGGAATTTTCTTGAGCAAGAGTGGTTTGCCATTTCCTTCCCCAGCTCATTTTACAGATGAAGAACAGAGGCCAACAGAGTTAAGAGACTTGCCCAGGGTCATATAGCTGGTAAGTATCTAAGGCCAAATTTGAACTCAGGAAGATGAGTCTTCATGACTCCAGGCCATACATTCTATATACTGTACCAACTAGCTGCCCTGGAGATTCAAGTTATAAGATCAGAATAAGATATGTGACCTGAGGTTACCTAAGCAAAACATACAGCAAAGAATAATATTAAATCTAGCTTGACTAAGCCTTAAAAAATAGAATTAAAATCAATTTTCAATTTTATAACACCATGTATACAAAAAATGAAAAAATATCCCTGCCCTCAAGAAGATCATAGTCTAAGGTACGGACATTTAAATATATATAAGCTATATAGTATGGATGGAAAATAATCTCAAGGAGAAGGCACTAGCAGCATGGGAAACAGGGCAAAGCCCCCCACAGAAGGTGGAATTTGAGCCAAGTCTTTAAGGGAAGCTAGGAGGCAAAGGTAATGAAAGAAAATATTTAACACAGAAGGTACAGCTAGTGCAAAGGCAGGAATCAGAAGATGGGAGTGTCATGTGTAAGAAATAGCAAGTCAATGTAATTTGACTATAAAGTGTGAGGAGGGGAATGAAAACTGAGAAGGTGGAAAGGTAGGAAGAGTCCAGTTTGAGAAGGGCTTTAAATGTCACATAGAAGATTTTGTATTTGATCCTGAACATAAGAAGAAGCCACTGGAGTTTACTGAGGGGGGAAGGTAATAATAAATCCAAACCAGACCACTTTCGAAAATAAGTGGAAGATGGAGTGGAGTGGGAAAAGACTCGAGAATGGAGACCAATTAACAAGCTATTACAATTGTATAGACGAGAAATGATAAAGGCCTATACTAGGATGGCAGCTATGTAAGTGCAGAGAAGGGGACATATATGACAGAGGTAGTGAAAGCAGGAACAATAAGATTTGACAACAGATTACATATACACTTTGGGTGATTATGAGTGAGGAATTTAGGATGACACAAGTTTGTTAGCCTAAGTGACTAAGAGGATAGTGGTTGTATTGATAGTACTAGGAAGGATTAAAAGATAGAGGTATGAGGGCAAAAGATAATGTACTTTTTGGATGTACTTAAAATACTTATAGGATACCCTGTTTCAGATGTAAAATATATAGTTGATGATGTGGGGCCTGCAGTCCAGGAGAGAGAGTTCAGGAGAAATACTAGGGTTGGATATTTAGATCCAGGAATCATATTGTCCCTTTGAAGATTATAAATGTTGTCTGCAGGCTGTCTCGCTTCTGATACAAAATCCCAATGTATATGCCTAAAGGAAGTTGTAGTAAGGACAGTCTTTCTCTAAGGATGATACCAAAATCTTATCAAAATAAGCTTTTTGTCCCTCATTAAAAGAGTTGAGTTGAAACTATAGACATTTCAGTTTTAAACATTTCAAGCAAGCTAGTATAAGCTAAGTTAAATGGGAGGAATTGGAGATGACCTCTAAACAAGAACTTTATCTCCTGTGTTACATTTTTTTCCAAATAAGAAGGGCATATAAAAACAGCTATGGCACAACAGTGCTTTCTAGAATCTTACAATTTAATGAAAGAAAATGGTATGTATGCAAACAGCTATGACATATAGGAAACTAAATCCAAATGAAAGTTACAGGGAAACCATGAAAAACATGAAGGAGGAAACATTACTTGTGGGGAGGGGGTGGGGTGTGTTGACAAGAAAGTTTCATAGAAGAAATGGTACCTGATCTGGGCCTAGACACTTCAAGCAAGGGAGATGTACATGGAAAAATACAGTAAAAGCAAAAGCACAGTGACAAGAAGACCAAAAGGCAGCCTGTGTCCCCAAAGTAGACTACTAAGAAGAGAACCCCTTCTTAAGTAAAAGAAGCCCATATAATGAAGTATTAGACCTAGAGTCATGAAGATCAAGGCTCAAATCATACTTAAAGATATTTATTTATCTGTGTGACTCCAGAGTAAATCACTTCACTTCTCTGGGCCTCAGTTTCCTCACCTATAAAAGGGGAGGATTGTACATGATCATTTCAGGTGTCTTCAGCTCTAAATCTGTGATCTATTAGCTGAGTAAGCAGGATAGCCATTAAGATCATCCCTTGTAATACCATGCTAAATAAAAAATGCATACTTTTTTAAAAAAACCTACTTCACATACCAGAATGACTTTTTAAACACTGAAGGAAAAAGACAAATAAAATAATTTCTTTAATACTTCAAAGATTTCAACAGTGTGGGGCATTTCTTCCACTGACACAGATCACCATTTCTCTTAGTAAATGTCCTTCATGATTTACCGTGGTCAAGAAAATCATCACTGTGCAGTTAACTTGGTGATTAGCCTCTCCAAAATGATTTAGGCTAGTCCGAAATCACAGAGATTATCACCAAGCCTCTCCTCAAAGCTCTTCCAGCTTGGGAGAACCTGCCAAAAGGATGAAGTAAATTAGAACTGCCTTAAAGAACTCAGAATCACCTCTATGCCACAATGAGGTATTGGAGTAGGCCTTTAAACCAAATATTTATTCAAAAATAATGCTGGGACTCACCTTTCCACAACCAGACTGATTGCTTCTGTGAGATTTGGGTTTGCTGCATGGAGGTGTTTCCATAAAGACCACACAAATTCTTTGTCAGCCTTAAAGGAAAAATAAAAGAAATTTCTTGTTTTAAATATCATGCTTTCTAATGCAACAATTACAGATTAAGGAATTCTTGTTGTTCAGTCATTTTTCAGTAATGTCCAACTCTTAGTGACCCCTTTTGGGGTTTTCCTGGCAAAGATAATGGAGTGGTTTACCATTTCCTTTTCCAGCTCATTTTACAGGGTGAGGAAACTGAGGCTAACAAGGTTAAGTGACTTGTCCATGTTACACAGCTATTAAGTGTCTGAGGCCAGATTTGAAACCAGAATGATGAGTCTTCCCAACTCCAGGCCAAGCACTCTATCCATCCCTACTTATGATCTCTAGTTTCTACACAACGCATTATAAGCTCAAAGAGGCTACTTAAGTGAATTTTTAAAAATATATTCCCTTTCATAATTATAATCCTTCCCATCTTCCCCATTCCCTTCAGGAAAATGATAATGCTAGATAAACAAATCAATCATATCTCCAACTGGCTTGTAAAGTTATCCTGTCATTACTTGTTTATCCAGTATGTGTGTCCCTATCATGAAAAATGTTATAAAATAAATTTTTCAAAAGAATCAATTTTTCTGACCACAGTGATTTTCAACTTTCATAAATGTCTTATCTAAAAATCTATTTAAGAATACAAAGAAACATGGCAGAGTAAAAAACTAACTCTCAGCATAACTCCTAGAAGATACCACCTCAATAATGGGTCAAATATATTGTTATTAAAACTGGATTAAGAAGAAAAGATAATGAAAAATAAGTCCACAACAATATTTCTTATCAGAAACAATAATAGAGTGCAGAGTTTAAAAACTCAAACCACTAATCATTCACCTAGCCTTGATCCCCACCTGCCTTGCATTCCATATGACAGACCACACCTCCATGGCACTGAGCCAGAATGACTTGGCAGTAGGAGCCACTTCACCTAACCCCACTGGAGACCTAGTGGGGTAGACCAAATCCATGCATGTGGAAGGTGTTAAAACTCAGCTGCAATCATATTCTCAGAATAGCATATCCTCCAAAGATGAGCCTATTCATCAACAAAAACAGAAGGAGTTTGAACAACGGGGAGCCATCCAAACAAATCGTCTGTCCAAAAAGAATCCAGAGATTAGCAAGCTATTGAACACACCGATATTTCAAATGGTAGAAATAACTTTTTTAAAAGTATATAAGTATAGTCAGCAAGAAAAGTCTAAACAATGAAGGCAACCCCTCATAATTAATTCTAGGGTTAGATGAAGCTAGTGTTTCCTTGCATTGATCAAAGAAATATCAAAAAGATCATCTGGCAAGAATCTAAGAAACTAATGACTTAAGGTGGATAAAGAAGTAGGGAGAAGAAAAGGAGTAAGAACTGAATTAATAATTCTGGGATAAAACTCTACCTCATAAGTGGGTTTTTATTACCAGGGGAAGAGAGGGTGGGTACTCAAGAGGGTCCTGGCTCTGTAATAGAAAAGGCAGGCAAGAGACAGAAGCTGGAGACTTAACTTCAGCCAAGACTGCCTTTGAGAGGAGAAGGAAAAACAGTCTCTTCGTTTCTTTGACTTGTCTGAGAGAAATGAGGAAGAGTAGGGTAAAAATTGTAAAAGGGATCTGAGATGGTAACTTGAAGGTAGGTCCCTTCATAAATGAATGGCTATTTAAATCCACTCACATGAAGTAAGGATAGAGGCCCCATAACATTTTGTCAGGGTATAATCTGTATCTTTAAAAAAAAGAAAAAAAAACTTTCTCAGAAATGCTGCCCACTCCAGCAAAGGTCTATAAGTTTCTGAAGTCATCTAGTTTCCAGGAGTAATAGTGGGACATGAGTCCAGAGGAATTATATAAGACCCTTACAACAGGCAAGTGATTAATGTCTCAAGTTCACAATCTCAGCCTTACACATGTATAATCTATGTCTAATGTGTAATATAATGCAAAGTAAATGTAATGTAAAATGTGTTAACATGTGTTTCCTCTCTCTCTTATATCATCTGTCTGATCAGTTGACAAATCTTGCAACTGATTGATTTCCCTGGTTTTAGGAGTTTCCCTTGTCAGATGATTCAACAGATCCCATTTTGCACCTCTCTAACATATATTTCATGTATTATTGTGCAATACAGTTACTTGTGTATTATCCTTCCCCCTACTAAGAAGCCATCCTCAGCTCCTACCAAAGTAGGCACTTATCTGTGTACTTGTTGTTTCTTTCCCATTAGATTATCAACAAATTGATGGCAGGAGCTGTTTCATTTTGTCTTTCATCCCCTAAAACCTAGCACGATGATTTTCCCATGTTAGGTGACTAGAATATAACAAATGCTGGTTGATTTGGCTTGCTTTATAAAAAGCATGTTAAACTGAACTAAATCACACCTTCTTTTCCTGTCCCATATGCCTTCTTTATATGGGGTTAAGTGACTTGCCCAGAGTCACACAGCTAGTAAGTGTTATGAGTCTGAGGTTGGATTTGAACTCAGATCCTCCTGACTCCAGGGCCGGTACTCTATCCAATTCACCACCTAGCTGCACCCCCTCAAAGTCATTCTTAAAATAATATTGCTGTCACTGTATTCAGTGTTCTCTTGGTTCTGCTCATTTCACTCCATTATTTCATGCAAGTCTTTCCATGTTTTTCCAAGATAACTGAACTCATTATTTCTTATAGCATAGCAGTATTCATCACAATCATATACCACAACTTGTTTAACCATTCCCCAACTGAGGGGCATCCCCAAAATTTCCAGTTCTTTGCCGTCACAAAGAGAGCTGCTATAAACATTTTAGAACATTAGGTTCTTTTCCTTTTTCCCTAGTCATCTTTGATAATAAACCTAGTATTGGTGTTGCTGGGTCAAAGGGTATAGTACATAGTGAGATTAATAACTCTTTTGGCATAATTCCAGATTGCTGTAAAAAATGATTGGATCAGTTCACAATTTTCCACCAACAATGAATTAGTGTCCCAATTTTTCCACATCTCCAATATTTGTCACTTTATCTTTCAATCGTTTTAGCCAATCTGATAGATGTAAAATGATGTTTCAAGGTTGTTCTAATTTGCATTTCTCAAATCAATAACGATGTAAAGCATTTTTTCATATGACTATAAATTGTTTTGATTTCTTCATTGAAAACTGCCTGTTCATATCCTTCAACCATTTATCAATTGAGGAATGATTTGTATTCTTGTAGATTTGACAAAGTTCTTTATATATTTGAGATGAGACCTTTATCTGAAAAAACTATAAATTTTTTCCCCAATTTTCTTCCTTCCTTCTGATCTTGGCTATATTTGTTTTACTTGCACAAAACCTTTTTAATTTAAAAATTATCCATTTTACACCTAATTTTGCTCTCTATCTCTTGTTTATTCATAAATTTTTCACCTATCCATAAATCTGATAAGTAATATGTTCCATGTTCTTCTAATTTTCTCATAATATCTCTTTATATCTAGGTCATGTATCCATTTTGTACTTATCTTGGTAAATGGTGTAAGATATTGGCACAATTTCTGCCATACTGCTTTCCAGTTTTCTCAAGAATTTTTACCAAATAATGAATTCTTATCTCCAAATCTTAAGTCTTCACATGTGTCTAATACAAGGTTATTACACTTATTTGCTGCTGCAAATTGTATGTCTACTATGCTCCATTGATTTAGCTTCCTATTTCTTAGCCAGTACCAGAGATCTGATACTACTAAACCTCCTTCCTTTACATTTTTGATGAAAACTTATGAATGAAGCAAGCAGCCTACTGAAAATGAGGTTCTACATCAGGCCACATTTTTTAATTTACCCAGCTGACTAAAAGTTGTAAAGAACAGAGGATCCTGCTGTGCTTTTTGTTTGTTGACTACAGAAAAACCCTTTGAAATATCATCATAATGTGTCTTCCGTGCATATTGTCAAAATCATACAAAATTCTTTGAAAGATAAAACAACAGAAATAACTTTTTTCTGGACGATGCAGTGGATATAGAATGCTACACTCAAGAGTCAGGAAGACATGAGTTCAAATTGTGCCTCACAGACTTACTAGCTGTGTGACCCTCGGCAAGTCACTTTACCTCTGCCTCAGTTTCCTCTTCTGTGTAATGGGGATAATGATAGCATCTAGCTCTCAAGGTTGATGCGAGGATCAGATGGGATATTTGATAAGGGCTTTGCTAACTTTAAAGCGCTATATAAATGCTAGTTATTATTTTGTATAATTTTTTATTATTAACATCAATCAAGGCATAAAATAGGGAGATATGCTTGTCAATCGTATTTGCCCTTGTGGTAAGAGGATGCTGTGGTGAGAGTCCAAACGGAATTTGGGATTCTTTATAGATGGTAAGGTCTTCCAGTGATTCTTCATTTGTAGACAGCATCGTATAAAGCTGGGAAAAGTTGTAAAATTTCTTGACAAAATCCATAATTACTTTAGTTTGTCTACATAATTTTCACCAGAAAAGCCAGGTGGAATATGAATGCTTATTGTCCAGACTATGATATTCAGTTGAACCGACAACCCCTAGAGCTGGTCCATCAGCACACTTATCTTATACAGCCTTATATAGATGGACAGTGAATAGGAATAGGAAGCAGAACTGCTTTTGGATATTGGGTATTGCTTTTCAAAGGGCTCAAACTTCTCTTTGAAATAAAGACCCACCATTTAAGATTTTTGATTTTTAAAATGTTTTTCTTCATTTTATTTTGACATGACAGATACCAGCAACTATTCAGACAAATCCTTTTACAAAGTTCATACTCCCCTGAAAATAGATTATCAATTATTAATGGGGTTTGGACAAATGTGTCCTTCAGTTTTGGTACTTTTTGACCTGAGGTGTGTTGTGTCTTCATATTGAATTTATTGCCATTGTTACAATCACTGAGTATATTGTACTTCTGACACTGTTCGTTTCACCCCACATCACTTCATGCAAAATTTTTTTGGTTACTCTACATGCTTCCTATTTATTGTTGCTTTATGATCTCTAAGGTACCTTCCAACTCTGAAATTCTATGATCTGTTCATTGGCCCCATTTAGCATTTTGGTGGCCAAAAGCATCCAGCCAACAATGTGAATTTGTGTCTGAAGAGAGGGGAACATCACATTTCACACAATGTAAGTATCAGAACTAGAGAGGATAAGGAAACAGAACACCTGGGGGGGGGGCGGTGAAGGATTGGTATGGTCTTGGGTTCTTGGGGGTTAAAAGGTAAGGAGCTAAAATCTGAAGTTGGGCTTTGCAGTCAAAAGATCTGGGCTGGAATCCCAACTCAATTCTTTATTAGGAAATCTTGAGAAAGTCACTTTCCCCCTCAGTGTCCTCATCTATAAAATGAGACAGTTGGAATAAATCCTCTCTACAAGGTTTTTCAAACTCTCAAGTCCATAGACGAGAAGGATGCACTAGGGTGCTCAACCTCCTCCAGGCTCATGTAGGTGGAGATGATGAGGGGAGTGTGGGGGTAGGGGAGGGCAGGAGAGGGGGAGCGGGGAGGACAAGACGGAAAGAAAGAAGAGGGGAGGGAAGAGGAGAAAGGAGGGGGGAACGTGGGGCAAGGGCAGGAGGAGAGGAGAAACGAGTAGAGGGAAATGGGGAAGGCAGGGAAGAGGGAAGGGAAAGAAGGAAAAAGGGGAGGGGAAGGAGAAAAAGGAGGAGGACGGAAAAGGGGGCGGGGAAAGAGAAAAAGGGGAGGGGAAGGAGAGGGAAGGAGGAGAAAAAGAAGGGGGAAGGAGAGAGGCCGCGGCAGCCCACCTGGCACTGGCACAGCTCCTCCCGAACGCACCTCAGCTCTTCCTCCAGCAGCTGCAGCTCGTCCAACGCCGCTCCCTCCACGGAGCCCCTCCCCCGAGCCGGGGGTTCAGTGGGGAAGGCCTGGACGGACGCAGCCCCCGACCTGGGCCTCGGCCCCTTCGCCACCCCGCCCGCCGCCTCCACCTTCACTAGCCAGGGCTTCCCTCAGCCCAGCCGGTCAAGTTCACGTTTGTCTACGGCCCCCTCCCACCAGAGGCCCGCTCGGCCTGACTCCGGAAGGCGCCCCGCGCCGAGTGTCCCCCGCCCCCCGCCCCAAAATTGGGGCGAGCAGCGCCAACGACCTGAGGGGGCGGGGAACGCGGCGCCGCGGGCGGCCGGCCGCTAAGCGGTCAAGTTTCCTTCTCGAAACTCCGCCCTCCCTGGCCCCATCCCGGGACACCAGAGCTTCGAGCTGCGCGTGCGCGGCCCTTTTCCCGCCTCGGCCCGTTAGCTCTCGCGCGGCCGCTCCCTCCCCCCACCTCCGACATCACCCCACCTACCAGCGCACCCCCCACCCCCACGGTCCCCCGCCTCGCAATGCGGCCTCTTCGTCAGGATGCTGAGAGAGCTAGCGCAGGCGTGGCGGAAAGCGCCCCGCACGTGGGCTGGCAGACCTCGTTCGAATTCCGACCTGTGGGCAAGCCATTTCACGCCTCGCCTGCGGTCCTCTTTTGCATCCCTTGGAAATTAAAAAAAAGCCTCCAGCATTGAGATGCCCTGATGATCGCTAAAGCCCATTCCTGATCTGATAAACTGTGGTCTTCTCGGTGTCCCCAACTCGAGTTCTCACCTCTATTCAAATCAGTCTCCCCTCTCTTGTACCTAGAATGCCCCTTTCCCTTTCCCTTATATTGGCAATCTTCAAAAGTTGGATTAGGCTAAATTGCTGTAGTACTAGTGTTGGGATCATCAAGCGTGTGAGAGAAATGCTGCAGTATCAACCTGATCATTTGCAAAGTTTTAAAAAGCTTTGCCTTTGCCTCCCATGGAAGAAGATCTGCCTCTTTGCTGGTCTCCAGATTTCACCATTCCAACTTTGTCTCAGTACCTTCCATAGTTTCTCTCTACTCAACACCCTTCCCCATGCCAGGAATTAAATTATACCTGGCCTCTACTTTGTTGAATCCCTAGCTTCCTTCAAGGCTCGACTCTCTCACCTTATCCTATTAAGCGATTCCAGAAGTTCCTCAGACTTTCAGGGCTCTCTCCCACTTCAGATCATCATTCATGTTCTTGTCTGTTTAAGTGTTGTATTCTTCATTAGTATATTATCTCCTTGAGGGTATGGACTGCCCTTTTCCTTATCTCTGTGTTTCTAGCACTCAGGGTAGTGCTCAGGTGTAGCAAGCAATTAATAAATGCTTCTGGAATTGAACTGGATGGCAATGGATTGGATTGATAATTCCGACCTACTTAAAATATAGCGGACTGAACAAACACAAATACTTCAGAATTAAATGGATTGGGGTTAAAGTTAGGAGAAAGCTTCCTAGGAAACAGAGCAATTCCAAAGTGGAGAGGGCTGACTGAGAAGGCAGTGGGGTCCCCCACTTTGGGTCATAACTTATACTTCGTTGAAACCTACAAACTGCTTCTCCAGAATCTTAAAATCTGAAATTTCCCCTTTCTGATCGTGACCAGATCCTATTCCTCCATGTCTACATCTGCCTCACTGTTCCTAATTGTTTTCATAATCTTATCTTCCTCCAAGGCTTGGCTCAGGTGTTACTTTCTTCCTGAGAACTTTCCCTGGCCATTTTACTTGTTTTCCCCTCCACAAGTTACTTAAGTAAACACTTAAGTGCTCAGCATGCCTGTTCCTACAGAGCTTCCCAGGTGACACGAGCATGCCTAGTTGCTGGGGAATGGGAAAAAAGTAGGGAGGAGATGGGACAGGAAGAGGGATTTATTAGGTGCCTGCTGTGTGCCAGACACTGTTCTATGTATGATTTACAGATATAATTATTTGATCCTCACAACAACCCTGACGATAGATACTATTATCTCTATTTTACAATTGAGAAAGCTGAGATAAACAGAGAATAAGGGATTTGCCCAGGGTCACAAAAATAGCACTTGTCTCAGGCTGGATTTGAATTCAGATCTTCCTGACTCCAAGCCCAGTGTTCTATCCACTGCTCTACCTATCTGCCTCTGGAAAAGACCATGAGAAAGCTGAGGGTGAGGCCACTTAAGAAAAAAACCTAGGTGGAAGCAACATCATGCTAGAAATCATCTGTAACTTTTCTCTCTGCAGCCGCCTTGTCAGAACTGTGATATCCAGGCATGTGAGATCCTTCTCAGGATAGGGGAAAGCCACTCTGACTTGCTCAGGTTAACAGAGATTCAATTAAATATATATAGCCAATTAGATAAGAAAGAGTATGGTAATTGGCAAGTAGAGACCCAGCAACCTGAACACATCTTCAGGAGGGACTATGAAAGTAGGCAACTTTATGAAACTGATAAACCTCAGGCAGCTTTTTAAGTGAAAAGTCCTAAGTTGATATTCAGCCCAGAGTCATGTGGTCTGAATTTGGATGGAAGGGAACGGTTCCCCTGTCCGCCCCCTTGAAGTCTTTGCAGAAATTGAAATGTCTGGAGTCTGGGAAGATAGATGCTTATTGCGTGCTCCCTATTGCATCTATGCATAAAAAAAAAACTCCTTTTTTTGGTATTTAAAACTCTTTACAATCTAACTTCAAGTACCTTTCTGTCTTAAAGATACATTCTTTCCCTTCACATAGTCTATAATCGTATTACCCTGATTATACTGGTTTTATTGTTGTTTTCAACATAGAACATCTTCCATCTCCATACCTTTACACCAGCTATTCCCCATGCCCCATGCCTCCTCACCTCCACTTCTTAGGACCAATTGTTTCTTTTAAAACGCAACTCCAGGAGTAGAGCCAAGATGGCATAATAGCCAGAAGTACTCTGAGCTCCACACACCACCACCAACACCACCACCACTACCACTACCATATACCTACAAACAGAAAACAAGCTAAACTGAATCCTGATCAGGAAATCCAAAAAAGCACAAGAAAAAAGCACTAGAATGGCAAACCATTCTAGTATCTTGGTCAAGAAAACCCCAAATGGAGTCACAAAGAATCAGACATGACTGAAAACAACTCAACAACAACTACTTAGTTCTAGGTCATGGATCCAGGGTGGACTAATGAGGGACCTGTACCTAAGGATGGAATTACAGAGTGAGGAGAGGCCCTAGATAATGAACCTAGCAAAGAGCAAGGTAAGAAGCAAGCCATAGCTATATAGTTCTGACTATAAGAGCTGAGTGTCATCTCACTTTCTGGCTGATAGCCCAAACTGAAGACTGCAGAGGACTAATCAGGTTAGAAATCTCAAACCAAAGGGAAGCCTACAGCTCTGTTACTCTAAACAAACAGAGTTTTCTTTCTGGCTGATAGTGGCTAAGTTCAACAGGCAGTCTATTGAAACTCAAAACAGAGCAACCCTATAGACCTATTGCTCAGGCTCAAACCAAAGTCAGAAACTTGTAGGCCAAGTCTACAAGGACCAGACTTTGGGAGCACTCAAGGCTTTCAGGTCTCCAGCCTGAGATGTCCTTGAGATCCGGGAATGACACAATACTCAATACCCCAAGAAAATAGCAGCAGGACCAGCCCAGACATTACTTCCAGAATTGTGTATAGCCTGGTCATAATATAAAGCCCAAAGTCAGGAAGTAAGCTGGAAAAATGAGTAAACAAAAATAGAATCCCACCATAAAAAGGTATTATAGTAACAAAGATGCTTAAGACACAAAACTAAAAGAAAAGAATAACTCTAAAATATCTGAAAGGAAAGCCTCCAGGCTTGGGCACAAGTTCAACCAGAATTCCTAGAAGAGGTGAAACAAAAGATATGGGTGGTTTTTTAAAGAGTTCAAAATGTTTTGGGATTTTTTTTGTGGATGAAATAAGGCCACTAGCGGGAAAAAAATTAGAAAATAAATGAGAACTATGGAAAAGAGAAATGTAAAGATAATTAATAGTTTGGTATAAGAGGGTGGAGAAGGGAATGGCAAATTACTCCAGTATCTTTATCAAGAAAACCCAAAATGGAGTCACAAAGAGCTGGATGTGACTGAAATGGCTGAACAAAAACAGCAAAGTAACAGGAATAAAACAAATAATACGCAGTTACACAAACAAAAAAATACTCTGCAAATTGAAATATACTAAATTGAAGCCAGTGACTCTATGAGAAAGTAAGAAATATTAAAACAAAGACAAAATACTAAAAAAAGAAGAATATGCAAGGTAACTTATCAAATAAAAATGACCTGGAAAATACTTTGAAAAAAGACAATTTAAGAATCGTTGGAATATCTGAAAGCCATGACCAAATAAGAGTAAATGTATTTCAAGAAATCATGAAAGGAAACTATCCAGATCTTAGAACCAGAGGACAAAGAAGAAGTAGAAGGAATCCACTGGTTATTTCCTAGAAGAAATTCTAAAATGAAAATTCCTAAGATTATAGCCAAAATCTGGAGTTTCCAGATCAAATAAAAAATACAAGAAGCAGCCGAAAAGAAAGAATTCAAGTACTGAGGATCCACAATAAGGATCACACAGGATTTTAGCAGTCACCACTTAGAGAATCAGAGAGTTCATAATACAATATTCCAGAATCCAAAGGAATATCTTACCCAACAAAACTAAGCACGATCCTACAAGAGAAAAAAAAAAAGAAAACTTTAATGAAATAAAAGACTTTCAAGCATTTTTAAAGAAAAGATGAAAGCTATGTAGAAACTTTGAGGTACAGACACAGGAGTCAAGAGAGCCATAAAAAGGTAAACATGAATGAATAATCATCATAAGGAGCTCTGTTAACAAAGATAAACTGCTTACATTCTAATATATGGAAATGATTTTTGTACTCTTTTTGAACCCTCTCATCATCAGGATTCAAGGAAGGAGTCTGATTAGAGAGAAGGCCTGGGAATGGTTTTCTATGTCTTGATTATCTTAAAAGAAGGATAGAAAAAGAAAAGAAGACGAATACA